ATCTGAGGATCTCGGTTCAAAACCAGCTCGGGCAGGAAAGTCTGTGAGACTCTTAATCTCCAATAAACCACCAGAAAATGGAAGTAGTGCTGTGGCTCAAGTGCTAGAGTGCTACCCTTGAGCTGAAGAGCTGAGGGACAGTGCCCAGGCCCAGAGTTCAAGCCCCATTACTGACAACAACAACAACAACAACAAACAACCCCAAAATACAGAACAAAAGGATTGGGGGTTTCTCAAGTGATGTTCTTATCTAACATATGCAAGGCCCTGGATTCAAAACCCAATACTAGTGCTTTTTGCTTATTAATTGGAGATAAGAATCTCATGAGCTTTCCTGCCTGGTCTGAGCCACAATCCTCAGATTTCAGCCTCCTAAGGTGCTATGATTAAAGGTGTGAGCCACTGGCGCCCAACTGTCCCTTAGTTTTAACACTCAAGTCTAGAATACTACCACTTGAGCCACAGTTCCACTTCTTGCTTCTTTTCTTTCCCTTTCTTTTTCTTCCTCTTTCCTTCCTTCCCTTCCTTCCTTCCTTCCTTTTCTTTCTTTCTTTCCCTTCCCTTCCTTTCCTTCCTTCCCTCTCTTCCTCCTTCCCTCCCTCTCTTCCTCCCTCCCTCCCTCTCTTCCTCCTTCCTTTCCTTCCTTCCTTCCTTCCTTCCTTCCTTCCTTCCTTCCTTCCTTCCTTCCTTCCTTCCTCTCCCTCCCTCCTGCTCTCTCTCTCCCTTTTTTGTTTTTTGGTCGGTCATGGGACTTGAACTCTGGGCTTGGGCACTGTCCCTGTGCTCTTCAGCTCAAGGCGAGCTCTACCGCTTAAGCTACAGTGCCACCTTTCAGTTTTCTAGTGGTTTATTGGAGAGAAGAGTCTCACGGGCTTTCCTGCTTGGGCTGGCTTTGAACCTTGATCCTCAGCTCTCAGCCTTCTGAGCAGCTAGGACTACAGGTGTGAGCCACCGATGCTAACTATCTTTCTTTCTTTCTTTTCTTTCTTTCTTGATTAATTGGAGACAAGTCTCATGAACTTGTCCTGGCTGACTTTAAATCTCAGTTCTCAGATCACAGCTTTCTAAGCAGCTAGGATTACAGGCCTGAGCCATCAGTGACTAGCTTTCTAATTAATTTGGAATAATTTCATGTCAGTCTCATAAGGCTATTAAGACAGTAGGGCACACAGAAATGGAGGGAAAAGGGTTAAACAAATACAGCAATGGTACTCACTGGACACTATGTTGAACATGAACTATACAATTTGTGGGTAGGGATGGGAGGTTTTGAAAACCTGGGAGCAAGCAAGAGAAAGGGGTGACATCATCAAAAAATACGTACTCTTACAGGTTGCTGATGGCTCATGCTTGTAATTCTAGCTACTCAGAAGGTTGAAGTCTGAAGATCATGGTTCAAAGCCAGCCCAGGCAGAAAAGTTCATGAATCTCTTATCTCCAATTAACCACCAGAAAACCAGAAGTGGTGCTGTGGCTCAAATTGGTAGAGCACTAACCTTGAGCACAAAAGCTCAGGGACAGCTCCCAGGCCCTGACTTCAAACTGATTTAAAAAAAAAAAAGCATTTTTTACCAGACTTATATAACTGTAACCCCTCTGTACATCCCCTTTAAAATAACAATAAAAAATTAAAAACAACAAAACATTAGTACACAGGAAAGAAATCTTCCTTTTGGGAATATAACACAGTACAGATCAGAAAATATTTTGAAGCCAGGTGCCGGTGGCTCACGCCTATAATCCTAGCAACTCAGGAGGCTGAGATCTGAGGATCGCAGTTCAAAGTTAGCCCAGGCAGGAAAAGCCATGAAACTCTGATCTCCAAAAAACTACCAGAAAACTGGAATTGGCACTGTGGTTCAAGTGGTAGAGCACTAGCCTTGAGCTGAAGAGCTGAGGGATAGCACTCAGATCGAGTTGAAGCCCCACCAAGTTCAAGCCCTATAACCAACCTATATAATGTGTGTGTGTGTGTGTGTGTGTGTGTGTGTATTTTTTAAAGAAACATCATGCATTTGGATGGTGTGATCTGTTGGCATACAAGTACAAGCCACCTGAAACCTTTGCAAATTCTGCTTTGATGCAGCTCTCTGTGTTGGATTTGCTTCCTTCTAAGGTGTTTATTCTATCTACATATACTCAGGAAAAAAGAGTAGTCCATTCAGGTGTGTGCAAAGTCCTGCACATAACAAGGATTCGTTTATAAAATAGCCATGTTATAAATCTCAGCAGACAAACCAGTATTTGCTTAACCAGAATGACCTCTGCACCTAAAAGAGGAGGAGAGAGAAGGGGAGAGGGGGAGAGGGGGAGAGGGCAGGAGGGAGGGACTGTACAGGTACTTGATTCAGCCGACTGCAGTTTCTCATAAATATTCAGTCTATGTTGGGCTCGGTTTGTAGGCAGGAACATGGCTACTTACTCCCTTGCACTGTCCTGAATTGTCAACTTATTTGTGAGAGGAGCTATCAATGCCATTTATTTGAATTAATTCCTGATTCAAAGTGGGGGTGGGGGGGCTATGCTTTTCCTTGGACAGAAGTTAGCTCCTGCTTCTTGTCCTTCCTCTTTGCAGGATCCCCAGATCCCTCCCCTCTGAAGATCTCCCAAACATCCTTTTGAGGGTCAAAATCCCAGAACAAGACAAAACTTCATCCCACTTAACCTTTCTTCTCAGGGCCTGGCTTTCCTAAGCTCTGATTTATTACTTGGTTTGTCCTATTCCATAGAAACCAACAAAAGTATTTACTGATAGTTTTCTTCTACCAAGCACTAACATGGTGATGTGGTGATCTGGGAATATTAGTATCAACCATGCCCAGAAGACTTCATGAGAAGGTGCTCAGGGATGGGGAAATATTCAATACCCAGGCAGACATATGCATTAACTCTCCCTCCTCAAATGACCTTATAAATTAGGCCTTGTTAACACCACTCCAATTTTACAGAGGCCATTAATTCTAATCAAGGTGCTCTGGCTCTAAGAAGAATTATCAAAGACTTGCCTCCAGCTGTGGGCCAAAGGCTCAGACCTCTTACTGCATTGTACCCTTATCCACCCAAATTCAGCACAAACAGAGCCAGGTTATCTGTGCCTTTGGATGGAAGACCCACAATTGTTTGACATGGAATAGTCTAATCCTATTTAAGGCAGCTTTTCTTTTTTCTTTTCTTTTGTTTCCTTTCTCTCCCCCCTGTCTTTTGCTCCATTTCTTTTCCTTTTCTTTTTCTGTTTTTCATGCTGATACGGGGGCTTGAACTCAGGGTTCAAGCTTTGTTCCTTACCTTTCTCAATCAAGCCTGGTGCTCCACCACTCTTGAGTCATAACTCCACTTCTAGCTTTTTGGGGGCTAATTTGGGGGGGGTTGGGCAGTTAAGAGTCCCATGGACTTTGCTGCCCCAGCTAGCTTCAAAACATGATCCTTAGATATCAGCCTCCCGAGTAGCTAGGATTAGAGGCGCCCCAGCAAAAGCAGCTTTTCATCACTGATTTCACTTCCTCTCCCAGGGTGTTAAAAATGAAGTGTGCCTTGCCCTGAATTCAACCCTGCACAGAACAGCAGGTCCTGGGTAAAAAAAGAAAAGAGGAACCAGCTGTTAGCGTGGAAAATGTTGATCTATAAAGGTGTGGGGAAGAAGGAAGGGTGGGTGAGTAACCAACGAATCTTCCAAGGGAGTAATTCCCACCTGGACACCCTCACCGTGGGGGAGGGAGGCCCCCTGGATGATTTGGAAAGGAATGGCTAACAGTGCTGGGAATTTTCTACAGGTCTTGTTTCCAAAAGGGTTTTGGTTAGGAAAAGTTCTGAGACTTTTCTCTAGTGTTCCCTCTTCTTCTACTCCACCTCTGCTCAGATGACCTCCTAGATTACTACGACCTTCTGTGTTCTCAGGGTTATTGCAACAAAGCAAGATCTCAACACTGCCAAATATACACACTCGCTGGTCTAGAAACCACATGATCTGCTTATAGGGGCTCAGGTTGAGGCTGGGGCTTGATGCCTATAACCCCTGCTTTTCCTGGAACTGGAGGTGTTCTTTTTGGATCCTCTCAGCTAGTGCAAGGAAATCTTGTCATCTCTTCACACTTAGTGCTTGTCCTGGGCCCTTCAGCCCCAATTACATTGTCAGAGGAAACTGCTCTGGGCTCATAGTAAATGCACAGCAAAATTTCTTGGCTAACTAGGAATTTACCTCTTCCACTCATTACATTAGGGGCTGGTCAGCACAGTTCCCTTGCCTATACTTTCCCTGGACAACACCCTGCAGAGAAGTATAAAAAGCCAGCACTGGTGGCTCATGCCTATAATCCTAGCCACTCAGAGAAGGCTGAGATTTGAGGGTGACTGTTCCAAGCCAGCTCGGGCAGAAAAGTCTATGAGACTTGTATCTCCAATTACCCAACCAACAGCCAGAAGCAACTCTGGCTTCTGTGACTTTGCCCTTGTGTGCTGCAGGGAAGACAAAGCGCAAAGTTCCTGCTTAGCCAGGACTCTTCACAGGACTTGTAGAGTCTGACAGGGAAATCAATTCCTCCTTACCCTAAGTAGTGGGAAAGCTAGGAGAAATCGGGAACATGACAGTGAGTACAGGCCATCCCACCCTTTACATCTCAGGACACACAGTCTGTGACCCCAGGAGGGTAAGTGGAAAGTTCCAAAGAGCCTAAGCTAGGGGTCCTTGGTGAAGTAATGGCAATGGAGGTGTCAGAGGCAGAAATATGGGACTCTGGATAGTGTCAAAATAAATGGCTTTAATGGGAGGCTCCTTGAGATGGCTGTCTCTGCCCTGGGGTTCCTTGGGAATACACTGGGTGGGTCCAGCCCTGTGAGAAGTTAGGATATCCCTCTGACACTATATGCCACCCCCTCCAGTCATGCAAAGGTGTGTGTTAACCTCAGGACATTGGAGCTATCATGTGTATCAGGCCTGAGCAAGGGGCTTCCCACTTTAGGTGGGAAGCAGAAGGAGAGAAATCACTTTTGAAATTTCAACTCTGACTTTTCCAAAGAAAACTAGTAGACACTTTACTAGTATATACAGGGTGGGGGGAGATGATGTCAAAGGGGGAAATTGCACTTAATTACAGTATTTTTTTTTTACAGTTTACACCCATTGGACAAATTTACTTCTTTAAAAGAAATCTCCAGATCACTTAGAATGGGGGCAGGAGAGGGAGTTCGTTGGTATTTACAATGTGTTTGGCTCAGTTCAATAGCACGCGGTCCTCCTCTCCTGGTTTCAGTAACAGATTCAAGTTTTGACATCAGTTTGTCTGACGAAGGATCATAGTAGAGACTCCACCACCTTCTCACTTCCTCTTACATGGTTTCAGGTCGCCCATGGTTTGGACAGAATGGAGCACTTGACATCTTAGGAGAGGCACCATGACAATACTGCAGAACAAGAGAGCTGGGTTTAGGGCCACACCTCCTAAGAGCGGATTATCCAAGGTACCAGCCAGGTGTCAGGCAAGCAGGGACCTCTCAAAGGTGCTTGTCAGCTCAATGGACTTTTCCATGACAGCTGTCCAGAGGGTGATGGTGCAGAAAATAGGGTCCTTGTTGCTGTGCACAAAATAAGTGATATGCAGACATCACCAGGCTTGGAGTGGACACTGCAGGAGAGAAGGAGAGAGAGAAGAGAGAGCTCAGCTGTGGGTACTGGGTAAGGACATGGGTCATTCATCTGGCTTCTCCAAAGAAGGTGACACCCAATTCAGCCAACAAAGAATTGAGGATGGAGAGCTGGAGGTAGAGAAGTCACCCAGCTCTGTGCTTCCTTCAGCAAAACCTTGGAACTGGCTTTCCTTGGCCGCCTTCAGAAGTGCATTGTTTGAAACAGTCCCAATCCCAACTAGCTGATCTTAATCTGAAGCTGGGTTCCTCTTTCTGCTGAGAATGGTATTTATAGAGCACTCTGTGTAGTTTCAAAGACAGCAATGGAAGTGGTGCTGTGGCACAAGGGGTAGAGTGCTAGGCTTTGAGCAAAAGGAGCTCAAGGATAGTACCCTGGCCCAGAGTTCAAGCGCCATGACTGGCAAAAAACAAACAACAACAACAAAAACACAACCGTTCTTACACCATTACTTCTTGCCAAAGTAATGGTGTCTTCCTAAAACCTCTAAGAACAGGGTTGCCTGTTCTGTTATCATGCTGCTTTCCAATAGACCTATGGCTACAGAGATCCTATTAAAATGTAGATTCTGCCTCAATTCGAATTCTCTAATTGTCTAGGAGTCTGCATTTCTAAGAACTTAGGATGCTGCTGATCTACTTGGAGTAGATCAGTAGTAGTGAGAAATGACCCCTTACTCAGACTTTCCAGTGGGGAAGCAAGTTTGGAAATTTTTAAGTCATCTCTCCAAGTTTGGTACTATTAGGACAAGAAACTCAGAGAACCATTCATAGGAGCTAAGAGCTGATGACCTCTGTCTGACGTCAAACTTCTAGGTGGGCCGGGAAAGGAGACCCTCCCATAGCTGGAGCAATCTCCTGAGAAGCCACACCACCCAGGTAGGCCAGTCTTTCCTTCCAGAGCCCTGGCCTCATTCATTTCAGATCTTCTAGAATATTACTCCTTTTTTTTTTTAACTTCTAAAGTTGCTTTTTGTTGCTCTGTTTCTTCTTTTCTTCTGTTAACATCTAAGACTCAGCCTTTTGGCTAAGAAGCTTATTCTCTGAAGATAATCCATCCAACATACATGGCCAGATGTATACATTCACGTATGCCTGGTACTTCTAACCACAGGCCTTTTATTCCCTTAGTACTCATTAGTCAGTGTTCCCAACTATGACCCCTCCTATGAGGTTACCATTCTGTTCATTTCACAGATGGGGAAAATAAGGCTCAAAGTAAGTTAATGATCATCCGGGCCTTCAGAACTGGGAGAACCTAGAGTCAGAGATTCAAACTGCATCTCTCAGCATGCATGCATTCTTTCTATTATGTGTTGGAGCTAAGAGTCTACTTAGCCTTTGGTTGTAGCTTAGATTACTTTTTTTTTGTGCCTCAGTTTCTTCCCAGAGGTCATAGCAGGTTTGGTGCTTGGCGTGGTCATTATTAACACTGTCCTGCAGGGTTCTTGCGTCCGTGCTGCTCCATGTTCATTCATGGGAGGGGGAGGGGGAAGCTGGGGAGGACAGGTTTCTGACCCACCTACATTCTTGAGGCCTTGGTCAGGGTTTCCCTCAGACCCTTTGCCTCTTCTTTCCACTACCCACCCCCATCCTCGCATCTCTTAAACTCCCCACTATCAGCCTTTTTCCAATTTTCAGATTTCAGGTGGAGGGGAGAGAAAATGGCTGGTGACCTTGCAGGTTTCAATAGAAGAGCAAACAAGAAGGGCAGATAAGAAGACGCCAGCGAGATTCTATGACCTGTCATTAGGGCCGGGCTCCTCAGCTATCAAATGTTTGCTCCCATAATAAAATGGTGGCAGAGCCCTAAATGTTGTCAAAGGAACTAGAGTTATTTGCCCCCTCCTGAGTCTAAACACAAACATCTGATAAGAGGTGCACTGTGGTCCCTTAGAGATGGAGGCTCAGCACACTCCATCTGAAAGGGGTGGTAGCCGTGTCCTCATCCTGAGAGGATGTGTTACAACTGGTACTAGCAAACATGTACTGAAGCCCTACTATGTGCAGACACCATGCTCAGAGCTTTGAATTCATTGCACTCAATTCTTCTATCAACCCATTGAGATAGGTGCTGGTCCATGCATTCATTTTATACATTGTTGGGTGTTTGTTATGTGCTTGTTTGTAAGCTCAGGGGACATAATTGTGAACAAGACCTGCACACAACTTCACAGTTAACACTCCGGTAAGTTTTGAGCAATAAACAAATACGTATACAAATCACTTCTTAGGTGGAGATGAGTACTTTGTAGAAAAATAAGCACAGTGGGTGGTTAGGTTGATGAGGGGAAAAGGAATAATTGAGGAAGCTGGTGAAATCTAAGATGACTGTATGAAGGAGGAAGCAGGTAAAGAATCACCATATTGACCAGGCATAGTGGAACATGCTTATAATCCCAGTTATGTGGGAGACAGAGATCAACACTATCATGGTTCAAGGCCTGGGTCAAAAAGTTAGTCCTAGAGCTCATCTCAACAAAGCAAGCCAGGGAGACTCCCATGAAAAAGTGTTCTGAGCATAAGAGGACAAATGCAAAGTCTTGCTCTAGCTGAAGCAAAATGAGCTTGGAAGGTGTGGAGGGCCAGGAGGATAGGGACTCTAGCAGTGACCCTGATTACACAAGGCTTTGAAGTCTCCATTTCCATTGTGATTGTAATGGGAAGCTTCTGGGGAGAGGAGACAGGAGAGGAATATGCCCTCTGTCTGTCTGTCTGTCTGTCTATTTCTCTTTTTTCAGTCCTGGGACTTGTACTCTGGGCCTGGGCACTGTCCCTGAGCTTTTGTGCTCAGGGCTAGTGCTCTACCATAAGCTACAGTGCTACTTCCCATTTTTGAATGGTTAATTGGAGATAAGATTCTCATTGGACTTTCCTGCCTGGGCTGGCTTTATACCTCAATCCTCAGATCTCAACCTCCTGAGTAAGCTAGGATTACAGGTATGAGTCACCAGTGCCTGGCTTGTTCTCTCTTTCTAAGAGGTCACTTTGTCTGCTGGGAGTCCATAGCATGCATGTATAGAAGTCAGAGTCAGGGATCACAGGAGATCAGCTCTTGACCAGGGTGGGAGTTGGGGAAGAGCTAAGACCAGGATGCACCAGTGGAAATGGGGAAAGCTGTTTAGATTTAGAATGCATTCTGAGCGACTCCTAGAAGAATTTACTGATGGGCTAGATGTGGAATGTGGGAAAAAAGTACTCTTGGGTATATATCTTTCAATGAACAAAGGATATGATTTTTTTTTTTTTGGAACTAGGTAGGTCTGAGGAAGTAATTGGTAGAGAGAAATTGGGGCACAATGAAGACTTTCTATTTTAGGTCTGCTCAATCTGAGAGGCACATTGGATATATGAGACATGTACATGCTTCTGGCCAAAGATGCACTGTCTTTGTCAATGTGTCCTCAGTAGGCAGGACCAGCCTGGAGAGAATTCTAGGAGCTATCAGTGTGTACACTTGGCCCTAAGTGATCTGAATAGTGAGAACTCTCAGAAGTGAGCACAGATGAGAAGAGGCCAAAGAATGAACAGTGACCCATTCCAACCTCCAATGTTTTTTTTTTGTTGCTGTTGGTCGTGGGGCTTGAACTCTGGGCCTGGGCGCTGTCCCTCAGCTCTTCAGCTCAAGGCGAGCGCTCTACCACTTGAGCTACAGTGCCACTTCCGGTTTTCTAGTGGTTTATTGGAGATAGGAGTCTCACAGTCTTTTCTGCCCGGGCTGGCTTTGAACCAAGATTCTCAGATCTCAGCCTCCTGAGTAGCTAGGATTACAGGCGTGAGCCACCGGTGCCCGGCTTCCAAGCTCCAATGTTGAGAAGATGTGTTGGAGCTAGAAGGAGGGGACTTAAATGAGGAGTATAACAGCGTGAGGACAATGTTGTCCTAAAATTCAGAGGAAAGGCAAGAGTGATTGGCTATAGCAAAGATACTGGCAATGCCCACCAGACTTAGCAGTGTGGAAGTATGAGTCAGCTGGACATAGGGGAATGTGGGGACATAAGCCAGTATGTGCTGGTGTCAAGAGAGAATTTAGGGTGAAGGAGGGGGAAGATGGTGAGTACAGACGACCCACTTCAGTTGTTATTAACTCCCCTAATTTGTATGAGATTAACTGAAAGTGATCATTAAAATCCTAGTTTTTGTATGTGTGCGTGCCAGTCTTGAATGCAGGGTCCCTGAGCTTTTATGCTCAAGGCTAGCACTCTACAACTTGAGCCATAGCTCCATTTCTGGTTAATTGGAGATAAGAGGCTCATGAACTTTCCTGCGGGGCTGGCTCCAAACCATGATCTTCAGATCTCAGCGCTCTGTGTAGCTAGGATTACAGGTGTGAGCACTGGTGCTCAGCTTTATAATTCCAATTTTACAGACAAGGGAAGTATAGCTTAGAGAGATTACAAGTAAGGTCTTATTATAAGGTTTTACAAGAGCAAAGTTTGTGCTTTTAACCACTATCTACGATCATCTCTTTCTACTTTCTGCGTGAGACAATGGGGAAAATAAATGTCCTTTGTCATTTACTAAATGGGTTGCTAGCAGTGAAGCTGAGTGTGAACCAGCTTCCAAGGACTGGGTGCTCCCTTGGCCCAAGCACATAGTGACAAGTTTTACAAGTCTTTTTGTAGTTATTTCTTGCAATGATCCCGTGAAAGGCGTATCATTATCTTTACTTTACAGGCTATGAAAGAGGCCCAGAGCCGCTAATGGGAAGAAAGTGGTAGCATCTTGAGGCTTGGGTCTGCCTAATTCTCAGGTTGGCATCCAAACCATCACCCCATCCTGCCCCATTGCCAGTGCAGACGGGGTTGAGGGACAGTATAGCTGCTGGGGATTTACAGTAAGGTTGCCATTTTTTTTTCCTGTCAGCACCCCTTTCTGGTGAGTGCTCGGGGGGCCCTCCCTATAAACTAGGGAGTAGAGCAATAGGGAGAGTTAGTTGTGGAAACAGGAATTGGCTCACAGCCTGCCCACACTTGTCCGA